AAGATGCCCTGTAGTCTCGTGGGAGACCGCCCAACTGATATTGCCAATCTCATCAACGTTGGAAACTCAACCATAGTATAACACCCTCGAGGTTTTTGTCTGCTCCATAGTATTGGACAACGGCTAAGGACACGAAGTATCCTCGCACTCGTCTATCAACTGTAGGCTATCCTACACAAAAATATTCGAGAGCCATCACCCAACCATTTCGCCGAAGCTAGGGTAAAAATGAAGCAAGGCTGCTATCTCATGTGGACATCTCCCACCGGATACTCGCTGGCAGAGAACGGGACAGAACGGCAGCTTCAGTAAATACCGGTCCTCTCCGTTGTTTGACCTCTCCTAGACCAGGGGAATCATAACTAGGATGGCGATATATGTGATCAGCCTCAATGCCAAGGTGTCGAGAGCGTCTTTCGCGCATAAAAGATAGAGCAAGATGGCGTAGAGGTGAATCGTCAATGTTAGGGGGATAATTCGGGAGCAATTGGCTGGCCCTGCCATATTTTGCCTGTTGCCACTTCTATTCTTTTTTTCGGGTCTTTAGGTACTCAGACGGAAGTGCAGAATGGCCGGCTGTAGGGGGCTTTTCCAGCACAAGGAGAGGCTTCGAGTCGTTGAAAGAGCAGGCAACGGAAATTGAAAGCAAGGACAGACTAAAAGGTGACGAGAAACTGTCTCTGTCGAGGGGCCCGGACCGCGCTCGCAAATGTGACACGCGGTCGTTGAGGGGACCAGGCAACGGGAGAAGGCGATCGACTGATGCTCAATACTCTCGGCGCATCTTCAGAACGATTTTCCACGACAAAACCAAATGAGCCGTCGGCACTCAACGCTACACTTCGCAGTACTTAGTGCGGTTGCGATTGGCTTGATCGATCGCAATGGGGTTGGGCTCCTCGGGGGATTCTGTAGCATACAAGATGAGGAGGCGAAAGGCTCCTTAACATGATGTAGAGTCATTGTCTGTGTTCTTCAGCCTCTGTCTCAAACAGACTGAGCTGAGCGCCTTCGCGACAGTCTCTTACAGGGTCCTCTCACAGATAAGATGCGATGGATCTACCATGGACTTGACAAGCGAGTCTAGGCACTCGGCGTGCGGCGAGGAGTCTCACTGTCTCTTCTCCTAATCCACATGCAGGCTTCGTCTTGAAGAGTTTCGCCATCGCACGAGGCAGACACCTCAAGCCACAAATGCCGCACGCATTGGCGCCGTCAAGGGAGCCTTGGTCACATCATAGGCCACTTAGGCGCATACGCATCCTTGGGCATCTTTGAGCATGTAACCTTCCTTACCCTTGCTGAATCTGAACAGAGCTAGAGTGTTTGTTCATCCTGTCTGCCCGGCCGATCGTTAACCTCTCGCAATACACCCTCTTCCCTGCTGGTAAAAGTCATTCGTTAGGCTTCCGCAGCCAGAGCAGCGCAAACACAGGTGTACACCCAGTCATGGCCAACAGAGGGAGCAAGCCCGATGGCGAGGATGAGACGTGCTAGCCAAGGTCTGCGTTCTTCTCCTAAATCTGAACAGGGACTGGCTCGTTCCTGCATAGCCCTGTAATAGATTGATCTATTTGGCCACTGCTGCAGCCGCTGAAGGGTCTACTAGATTCCTGCCTCATCCTGACACCGGTCATCCTGGCGTCGATGCGGTGCAGTCATGTCGTTGCTGAAAAACATTCGAGTGATCAAAGAACTTTGGTAGCACTTGGATATGTGAGGGAGGGAGAGAAGGAGGGAAAGGGGGAAGGGTTGGGTTTCCTGTCGTCGAAAAGTCGCTCATGGCCCCCATAGACATGGACCAATCAAAGGCCATCGCCGACCCTCGCCATCCTTCGCTCATCTCTTAGTTCAATTTCGGCTCACCTTGGGCGCAGCCTGCGCGCACCTGTGACTCACCCCCTAACTCACCCTGACCTGGGCGCTAGGGTGAGGTGAAACTGAGCTAAGGGTGAGCTAAACTGAGCTCGGCTGAGCTCGGGGTGAGTTAGGGCGGCGCAGCTCACCCGCTAGATCGGGAAGGGAAATTGAAGTTCGAAGAATCTGGGACGTAGTAAAGAAGTAATAATAATTAGAATATATAGAAGTACTTTAATTAGCTAGTGACTAAATATTTTATTTATATATTTAAGTTACTAAAGATTAAGCTCTTTATTATGAATTATAGATAAAGCTTCTCTAATTTATAAATATATATAGATAAATATTAAAAGACTATAACTATTTTAGCTAGTTTTATAACTAAAATCTGTAATAACCTTAAGGAATTTACGCGTTTAGCTATAATAAGTAGAGATAGTTTTAATGATAGTATAAATAGACGTTTAGTAAGTATTATATTATTAAGAAATAGTAGTTAATAAGGGCTTATTATATAACTTAGTATAGTATTAAAATTATTTTATATATTACTATCTTACACTATATTTATTATAGTATATAGCTTAACTAATTATAGTTAGTGTAATTATGTGATAGCTATATTTATATAACCTTAAGAATAAATAAATTAAAGTATATAGACTAGACTTATTATTATAGAATAAGATATCTATAGTCTCTTCTTTTTTTATTTATTCTTTACTAGTTACTATACCTTATTAAATATAGTTATATTTATAGAAGTAATTATAAGCTATCTTAGCCTTATAGACACTAGTCATTACTAAATAAATAAAGGTATTAAAGCTATTCTCATAATAATAGCCTAGTTCTTTATTCTTTTATATTCACTTCTTTAACTTATGAAATAATATCTTAATTAGATTAAGCTTTAAAGTATATAGAGATAAGTACTTAAGAATAGTTATATATATTTAGACTCTCCCAAAATATTCTCCCTATTATGGGTTATTATGATTCACTTAAATAATCTCTTATCTTATCGCTAGGTTATATAGTATATAGATTACACTATTCTTTCGCATAAGACCCACATAATTTATTCCCTATTAACCTCTAAATACCTCTCTCTAGACTTCTCCCTAAATAACCTTTTAGCCTCTCTACTAGCACTAGGGGTTTATTACCTAAAGGGTTCTTATGCGGTTAGTGAGTTCTTTATAGGTACTCCCTATAAGATTTTTCTATATAAGGTTATCACTTAAGTCTGAATAACTAAAGATAGATGCATCATCTTATCTGGTAAGGACTACTAATAGTACTCCTATTCCCTTATACTTATTATCTAGTAAGAGCCCCTATTATAATATTCTCACCTACGTAGAGATATATCCTAAGGAGTCATAGTTGTCTTGTATACTTATCACTAGTATATAGCTCACTAGGTTTATCTAAGATTCTCTCTTAATATCTTTCTCACTAGTCAAGTTAATTCTCTTAACCTATAACCTTTATAAGGGTATTCTCTTAACGGTGGTTCTCCCTACCTTACGTATATAATTAGTATGCTTTCTCTACCCTAGTAGTCTTTCTCATAAAAAATCTATAAGCAAGCTATATTAAGGTTCTCCCTTTATTATAAAGTGGTCTAGATGATAAGAAAGTCTATCTATAGGGTTATTCTTTTCTCACTACCATTTAATATAAAAGTTATATATAATTAGTATCTCTACCTAGCGCATTTAATGTTTATTCCTCAAGTCTGTGTCCTGGCGCAGAGGATGCCGTTTCGCGACGACGTCCGTAGCCGCTTTTGCGATCCCTCTGCACCGACCGGCTCCACCTATCCCCTCGCCGCTTTTGATAATTTGACGTACAACGGTCTTCGCTCTCGGTCGCTCTGTACCACACCAAACGCCCGTACACTATCCTACCCTCCCTCTCCCTCTCCCTCTCTCTGTCTCACGTCACATTCTCAACCGCGTGCATTCATGCATTCATGACTTTCCAACCCATGTCGAAGACTCTAAGACTGAGACCCGTGGAGCTCTGTCACATTTCAAATTGTCTGCATTCCACGTGCTGCCCCTTCGTCGAAATGCCCCCGCTCAAACGGGGCCCGAAGTCACCTCGCTTCTCGCGACGCCCCTGATGCCTCCCGCTCTTTGCCCACCACTGTGCTGGCGGCGCGAGCCCTGGACGATATGTACGACGGCATCGCCCGAATGTCGACCTCACGTTCGTCACTTCTCTCCCTGCCTGCGATCTCTCCTCACCCTGTTCGATCTTCCTCCTCGTGCCTTCGAAGCCCATGCCTCGCCGAAAGAAGTTGACCACCGTCAACCTGAGTTCGGGGGATTCATACTTCAGTCATACTAGCGAGGACGTCTGCACACTCGACGGCCTCGCCCGCAAATATGAGGAGGCCTTGTCGGAGACCCGTCCCACGACGTTGTATGCACCGAATACTATCTACCACGTTGAACGCATTCAGCGCCTCTTCGAGGAGTATGTGACTTGACCTGATTGCACCGAGCTGCTGTTGACCGTACAAAGATACTGTGACAAGGTCCATCTTGATCCAAAGGAGACCCTGGGCGAACGCGGCACGGCTCGGATGGAGAACTTTCTGCATTGGTTGCTTCAGACCTTCACCATCAAGAAAACCAGCACCGTGACGACCTACTGGCGGCAGTTGAGTCAGCTGTACATTATGTGGACACAGCGTCGAATGGACCCGGCGGTGATGAGACAAATCTTCGTGGTAGGTAAACAGGCTCTATTGGACGAGGGCCAAACCGCTGAAGCTATACCACAGTTTATTGAAGGGCCGTTGACGGAAGAATATGGCCTGGACAATGAGGAGGTTGAGAAACCCCTCATGGAGGCGGACGATTTCGTCGAGCTTATTCGTTACCACTGGGCCTCGGATATCAACAGATTTCCCAATGAACGGCAACGCCTCCAGTTGGCGGCGATTCTGTTGCTGGCAGCTTTCACCGGGTCTCGACCTCAAGCCCTGTTGGACTTGACGTACGGCGATCTGGACCTCTATATCGAGAAGAACGCCGAGACTCATGCCGACATGCTCCGGCTGGGGGTGAAATTGACAAAGACGAAGTCCCGGCAGAAGCGGAAACGACCGTAAGCATCACTTGGTTGGGGAGTCCATGAGGCTAACGCGGCTACAAAGGAAGACGTACACTTTCAATCTGGACCGCAACCCAATCTTCTGCCCCATCACCCATATTGTCAGCTTGGCTTTTGATGACTCGGCCTTCGGACCACCCGATCTTAACTCACCCGACATTCTGTTCCGTCTTCGGGCGCGGCGGGAAAAGGGTTGTCAGCCAATTCCGTGGCGAAACAATATGCTTAACGTTCCCTTCTTTCGCCGTGCTGTCGCCACCAAGGAAGGCGTCAAGACATCGCCAGATAAAGCTCTAACCTACAATGTTTATCAGGCCTGGGTTAAGCGTCTAGGCGAGGCTTTGGGCTACCTACAGACGCTGACCACGTATTGCCTCCGCCGAGCCCTGGGCAACGCCATCAATGGTAAGTGGGCTTCTCTAACAGGTCTGCCGAGAAGAGTTCATCCCACTGACACGGCCACTCGCTTAGATGATCCCAAATCTAACGCGGCCGTCCGTAACCTTGCGCTCGATCATGTTGGGTCTTCAACGATCTTCGAACGGAATTACCTGTCTCGTATGATTCGTTACAGTACGCAGGACGCATTCTGGAACAGGGACAGCGATCCGCAGGCGGCCAAATCGGCCAGTCGCATCGGACGTCTTCGCGATCCGAACCGGCCGAGGAAGCTGACTGACGAACAGAGCCATCGGGTTCGACGGTTGCCATCTGTCCACCGGCTTCTGGAGTCGCGAGATCGGGTTCGCGGCCTTATTCTTCGGGACTTCGGAGTGCTTCGCATGGCAGTAAGAGAGCCAATCCATGCGGAATATAAGAAGTTGGAACGTATGGTTAACAGCACGATTCGAGCCGAGGAGCGAGCTCTATTGAAGTGCAGCCAGCGAGAGTACGACGAAACGGCTCCTGTTGAGGCGATCCAGCAGCAGATCAAAGGAATTTCAGCTGAGGGGCAAGACCTGGCTCCAGAGTCGGACTCGACACAGATTAAGATCCCCGAACGACGGCAGATTGCGGAAGCGGCCATGAGCGACCCGGCGGTATTCACCGGTCCCAAGGCACTATTCCGACACATAAAATGTTCCGTCACGATGATCAGACTGTGTCAACGACGGGAGCGACGATCGACGAGAGAAATATCTTCAGCTACAAGAATAGAATCCACGGCTAGCGTACATAATGCTCATGACCTCCCGCCTTCATCAACCTTCGAGCGTGTATCCCCGTTGACGTGTCAGAAACACCAATGTCTTTTCTGCCTGTGCAGTGATCTACCCCAAGAAGATCGGGAGAAACGGTATGCCGGTAAGCACTCCCTCCAGCGACATGCCGAACGCTGCCGCCTCCGGCACTTTCAAGAGAAGGACCGAATTCCTTGCCCCGACAATGTGGCTTGCCGTGGAATGGTTTTCGAAGGAAAGTCGCATTTCAAGAACCATGCCGCTTCGGTACACCTTTTCGTTTTATAAGCTATCATCAAACAACAATCGAACATATTGTTATATGTCGACCGAGGCTATACTTGTTCCGATGTCAATCTGTCCCATCTGGCCTGAAACCTCTGATCGCCTTCACCATAAAATGATTGGAGTTTCTTCTACGAAGGATCCTTCCGAAGACCTCTGTTATGTTATCGCGCACAAGACCCTCGACACAAGCCCGCTTTCCTGTGTTGTATCGGTAAGTACTACTAGAAGCAGGAGTCAGGCGCATAGATTCGGGCCTTTCTGGAGTAAGAAAGAAGGTATTCGGAAGATACTTAGCTGTGCATAGATTCGGGCCTTTCTGGAGTAAGAAAGAAGGT